CTTCATAGTTTTGAAGCTTACGTTATGATCGTTCTAACGACGTATGAATCATAGATATAACACTTGGTGTCAAAAAACTAGATAGGTTTACAAAATGAGTCACTCAGCTCTAACATCCGTCGACTCGGTCGCTCGTTGATGGCCAAGGATTTATTTCTAAAATGAACTGAAACCCATTTTCTAAATCAGTTTTTAGTGCTGATTCAGAAACATTTAGTTTGAATTCTTTAGCTTGCGATATAACTTCAAAGAAATCACGTTTATGATATATGTCGGTTTTTGAGACCTTCATGATATTTTCAGATTTTCTTCGTGAAGAAAGGAGTTTTGAACGTCGGGAATATGTTATTCGTGATCAGCGTCAAAATACGAATCAGAATATGTATGAAAATATCAAAAGCAAACTCCACTCGAATTTTGCAATAGCTTAAGCTTACCTCTTACGTTAACATTTCTGAAGCTTTTCAGTTATGTTTAACATTCTCGAAAAAAGCTGAATAAATAATAGAAATTCAATATAAAATCAAAACTCGATCTGGCCATACAAGCCAAAAATTAATCTTTTTTTAGTCAGCTTGTAGAGCTCTTTTTTCTTTAGAAAATGTATTTCCTACTCACTAGTTACACTGGTATTGAATAACTCTGCCGTCTTGTCCCGCCTAGTCACTGCTGCTGATGATGATGTATGACTCTTTTCGATATTGAATCTTTGAACTCGATTATTTAATCGGTCGACAACATAGAGATTGTCGTATCGATCAAATGATAAGCCCTCTGGATTATTCAGCTGATTCGCTTGGTCTCCTTCACAATTTTTGCCTGCAAGGATTCTTCCCCGTATTGCATCTTTAGGCCAACGCATTATTCGATGATTCCAAAGCTCTGCGACATAGACAGTGCCACATTGATCGACAACCACTCCTTGAGGACCACATAATTGTGTCAGATCATTCCCATAGCCTTGATCACCGGCCACGATACTACCTTCTGACTCACCCTCCACCCACTTCATTACACGATTATTTTGTTTGTCCGACACATACAATGCATTATCTCTGTCGACAAAGATGTAGTAAGGTAAATGAAGTTGATGAAGGCCATCACCTTTTCCATTCCCACCCGCTACTACTGTCACATGACTCTCACCCAGCCGAAATCGTCGAATAAGATTCTCGCCAGGCGAAGAGACATAAAGAAATCCCTGATTATTCATCGTCAAGCTATAACAGTCGAATCCCGACATGATTATTTTCCCAGTCGTGCCACCATGACGAGGCCATTGCATCACTCGTCGATTATTCCTGTCGCAGATGATGATACTGTCACTCTCTTTATGTACAATCACAGCTGTAGGACGATTCAGCTGATCGTTTCGGTCTCCTTCACCATTTCCACCAGCTACCAAGATACCACTCGTCTCACCATACTTCCATGCCACGATACGGTGATTTGCAGTGTCAGCGACAAAGATAGTGTTATCTTCATCAACATAAAGTCCGTGTGGTTCAGATAGTTGCTCGAGTCTTGTACCATGTCCATTGCCACCGACTACAGTAACACCGTTTTCAGCCCATCGAGTGCCAGGTGAAATATCAGTGAGGTTGCCGTGTAGTGGTGATGCTGAAAGAATACAAAACGGAGTGTGGACGTGGGATGAGCGTTAACAACAAATCTATATCCGTCGATTTATCCTCCCTTTTACCTAAGCCTTGCCTATCTATCATACCCACCATTAAGCGATTTTCAAAGAGGTGTCAGGACATCCACAAGAAAGCAGTACTGGTACGTTGGAATGAGGTATCCCAAAAGGTTGACTGACTAAGCACTGCAACTACTGTTGCATCAAAAAATATCAATTTTAAGGATGTGGATGTAGCTGTTGGTCTTTTCTTCAATTATGCCCACACCCACATGCACACCCCAGTGAACCAGCGACTATCTTGATCAATCTGTCAAAGCTAAGGACTTCCTGACATAATCTTTTGATGAATGAAGTTTAGCTTCCATCATACATAACTAAGTGTGTGTGGATGGGAATGTGTGCCTTGTCTTCACTCAGCTACATATTCAAATTCTTTCGAATAAATGTATTTTCTAAAAATCTTGTTACATAAGAATGTGGATGTTAGCAAGCAGTAGATTCAACATTCATAGCCATGCATTCGCACACATAACAAAAAAGAATTCTAAGTTGTTTTGAACCACTCGCATGTGTTCAGAACTACGTACAGGGAGTTTAAATATATTGTTTTCCCTTGCTTCTTCTATATTCTTGTGAACATCCATTGATTCTGTCGATCTTTATAGGTTGTCATGAGACCGAGAGGCTTCAGAACATGTAAGAAACTGATACTTTTATTTTTAATAGATCTTAGTAGATCCCGAAGGTATCATGATTCATCAAAGTCTGTCTTTTCCTTTTTAGTTAATACAACGGATAGCATCATGAACTTGTTATTTCAACAGAAATGTATCTATTTCTTACCGAATGCACTTTTGTTTGATAGTTTTGGCGTTCTGGGCAATGTAGGCGTAGGCAGTGGCAAGTGTTGATTATTACTGTCGTCTACTTCTGCCAAGTGTACAACATGTAGACGTCCATGTTTCAATGCATTGCTCTTTACAATTAACTGAGTACCCACACCCAATATCACTTCTTTTTCGTTGGGATAAACAGTATATCTACTAATATCCTTGCCGTGTAAAGCTTCTATCATGAAAAGAGTTGAGCATTTATTTGGATTTATAAACTCTTCGATGATATTGATTGATGACGAGCAAGAACTCACATTCCACCAAATCACTTGTTCATTCTCCACATAATGCTTTGTAACTGAACTGGATATGCCACGCCAAACACAACCCTTTACGGTAGGTAGTTTATTGAGAGCTGTGTCCAACAATTTAAGATAGGGAAACCATGGTTTAACTTTAGATCGGTCTTCCTCTCGTAATATTCGGTTTAACACACAATAGAAACTATTTTCACCTCCTTCCATCGTGTACAACATGAGAGCAGCCGATTCATCGCGTGTAAGACTGTGATCTGATGGATAACGACAATGCTTTTTGGCTTCTTTGATGGAGCGATCGAGTTGATAGACTCGAGGCACGATAGGTTCTAATGCTTGTTCGAGAGAGACAAGTGGATAGGACCAGTAGCCACTGATGGGTATAAGTTCCTTTTCATCCACATGATACTCAGTAAATCGATTCACTTTTTCTCTTTGTATACTCAATTTTGCAAGAATTTTCTTCATTTATATAATGTACACGTTGAAATAACAGATGTCGAGCTTGTGTCAATGAGCTGTAGTTCGGCAAAAACAGTACGTGAATAATACTTCTAAATTCTACTGATACAATCTACAAAAAAATCAGGTACATTTAACTGTTTGATTCTGTGTATGCAGTGAAAAAGTGTAAGCAATAAATACAACGTTGAAAAGAGATCTTGAATAAACCCCCCGACACAATACAAGACCCCCGCATAATAGTAGACCTCCCTTGAATCAATGACGCAACAGACATATTAGAAGACCCCCCCCCCCCTTAAAAAACCGATATTTTAAAATAGGCTCTGAATTTTATTCACTGCTTTAGTATTTAAGTTCATAATTATGTCTAAATTCAATACGAAAATTATTTTCCTTTCATTTTTATAACAAAGTGTCAAATATGAGGGAGTGAAATCTTGCGAAGTAGTTTATAGGAAAGACCTATCCATTTAAGATTTTGTTTCTTTGTTAACAACATCTCGTGGAGTCATTTTAGTAATCATTTGCAGCTTACTCTACAAATATTCTTCAGTTTCTACGCACAAAAAATACGCTTTCATGAAAAAAGGGTCTAATGAGTACGGTACATTTTCGCGGGTATAACACATGAAGAGATCTTTGCACATTAGTAAAAGATTAGTTAAAATATTGTTGTGTATTAATACAAAGACCTCTTTATCTTCGACTTTCTGCCAGAAAATGTGAAGTGCTTGAACTACAAAAAAGTTTTCCATAACAAAAGAAAATATAATTTGATGTATGTACGTCATGATTTTATACATGAATACTTCTTTAGAGTTTGCGAACCTGTTTCTTTTCTCAATAAGTTCCAAAGGCATTTTTCAGACAGACACAAAAGAAAACACAGATTGTATATTCAACCACTGATTTTCTATAAATAGTTTTCAATAAGACAATCATATTGATCGAAGTTAGTTTGAGATTAGTAACTTTGCTGGAAGCAGAATTCACTGTAAACGAATTCTATTTATACTAAACTTCTTCCCTCACAGAATAGAAGCCCACCAGGTGAGTTAGAATTCTCCGTTGACAATCGAGATTCACTTTATGAAAAATGAACTAAAACCGATGAACAATGAAAGGATAAACATTTTTTTTATCAAATAACACAAAAACTCTCATCGGCATATGCTTCGTTGCAAAGATATTGCTTGCGGAACAAGATCACCCCCTAGATCTGTATTCTGTGGAGGAGTCAATAGGTTAATCAAATTTTCACATAAGCAACTCAATTAAATGATTTTGATAAACAAAAAATAATTTTCTTTTTTACACTTATTTAGTTATTGAGAAGATAAAATATTATCTGTGATAGGTCTTACCCTTAAAATAAGAACGCTAACAGGATATCGTACCAAAATGTTGGGATACAATGACTGTATTCTCCTAAGAGTACTTCTTATGTATCATGGTCTCCCCTTTCTCACGAGATAATATATGTTCCTTTTTTGTATCTTGCACAAGAGAAATGAGTAAAACAAACTTATTTCTGAACGATATTTAGGACAAAAATCAAGTGAAAGGAAGATTTCTTGGCGAAACTGCCTAAAAATATGACTTTTTTAGGGACATAATAGAAGACCCCCCTTTTAACTTGTGAACGATAAGACAGAATAGAAGACCCCGGGTCTTCTAATGTGTCGGGGGCTTTATAACTTCCAAGCATACATGAATGTAGAGGAATACAATCCGAACATTGTGAGAAACCAACTGAAATCTCGTCGAACTTATAATTATACAGATGTTTTCGTCCCTGAGTGGCTCAACATTTAAGCTTGAAATTTCTTATGGAATAATCCAGTTATATTCTAGCAAAACATTAGATTTTCTCCAATATTCTTTGAAACAGAAAATTGCATGACGGTATCACAAACAGTGTAGTGCTTAATACTGTATTTCGATTGACCGTACGTTACAACAACGATAATTAGTGTCAAAAAAACACGCGAGAAATTCGTCAATACCGATAATGAAGCTGGGACAATTTTTGTCACTGCGCAAATAGGCAGCTACAGTAGGTCTAAATGTTTCAGAAAAAGTTTCTGAAGTCTTATCTATGCAATTTGAATGATTCTCACTACGTGAAAGTCTTCACTTTTTGATAGTTACTATTGACGTGGTAGCCCACGCCGGCAACAAATATCAAATATTTTCTTAACCACATATGATGACACTCTCTTCTTCCGAAAAATTGATTGGAAAAGCTAGAATCTTTCAAAATATTCAAAAGAAATTTCATTGCACAAAAAGTAGTAACTTCAAACGAACAGCGATTTATTGATATTCAAGCTGAGAATTTTTCTTTCTGAAGATCTCAATTTTATACAATTAGTGTAGCATGACGATTTTCTAACACAAAATAATAACTACATACTCAGTGCATGAAGATTTAA